TGAATGATAGTATGAGTTGGTAAAATTCTTGCTTAGTTTTCATTTTTAGTTTGTTTTTGGTAATTAGGTATGAAATATGTTCGTTTTTTTATGTAAAGGTGAATCAATTTGACTAGTTATTGGGTTGGCTACTTTTGCTAGTTTTTAAATAGATTGCAGACTAGAGAACTATGGAGATAATATTCTACCTTTTAAGAAGTGGATAGGTATGGATAAAGAAAAGTACTTCTTGGAACTTTTATCTCATGTTTGGATCTTGGTCTCTTGCTTATTTTATGATGATGACATGATGTTATGTTGAATTGCTGCAGCTCAAAAAGGCCTGAATTTTCAACTGAGGAAGCTGGCCAACATTGATTTCTAATTTTTTGTATAACTGAACCGAGTACTAATGTTTTGATTTCTCTCTCTCTTTTTTTTTTTTCATTTCTGGACTTTATGGGCTACTGTATTTATGGTCTTTTGTGGGATTTTTGGATTGAATTTGACCTATTTGAACATTGAGGATTTTGTTAGATATCAATTTTAAAAAACCCAAAAAAAACTCAGGAAAAAGTCCAGAAAAAACCCCAAAAAAGCCAAAAAAGGTCCAATAAAAAAGATGCTCAATTTATGGCCCAAAACGGAAAAATCCTAATTAGAAGCCCAAACCGCAACAAACCGTTCAAAATGGTTTGGATTGGTCCAGTTTAAACATCAATCCGGTCTGGTTACAGTTTTCACAGTTTAAAAACCGTAAGTAACGATTTGGTTACGGACTAATAGTAATCCGGGTCAATCCGGTCCGTGAAGACCCCTAGTTTTCAATACTTCATGAGTGTCGTTTGACCAGAATTTGAATTGCCGTGTTGTACTACAATTGTTAGAGATGTCTTGTCTTTGTATGTAGAATAAAAGAATAAGTTGTACTTTTTTAGTATTTCCTCACAACAGGTTTGTCTTACAACTAATGCATGGACTTCGTGCAAAAAAGGATTTTGAATTTTGAAGTCATTATAAATCATAAGGGTAAGACAATTGAAAAAATGGTAGAGAAGTGTTTGCTTGCTTGGGGCATTATAAGGATCTTTACAATTACTTGGACAATGCAAGTTTAAATGATGGGGCTATTTCATTTATGAAAATGAAAGTTCAAAATTGGGAAAAAACTTTTTTAAATGGTGAATATTTGCATATGCATTGTTGTGCTCATGTTTTGAACTTGGTTGTAACTTGTGGTTTAAAATAATATGATCTTTCTATTCAAGTTATTATAAATACAGTAAGATATATAGGATCTTCTCCTGCAAGGTTGGATGAGTATAAAGAATGTGTGAGGGAAAAAGGGTTGGATGATAGTAGAACCGTATGTTTTGATGTTTCCACTAGGTGGAATTCTACTTACTTGATACTGGAGTCGGCATTAAAATACAAAAAAGCCTTTGAGCGAATAGAAAATAATAAACATCTGTTTTTTAATGTTGGACCAAGTGACATTTTGAAGGAAAAAGGAAGAAAAATATGATGTTTCTAGATTTGGGCCACCCAAAGGCAGTGACTGGGAGTTGGTAGAGTGTTTTATGAGATTTCTTAAGGTGTTTTTTGAAATGACTAATCGGTTCTCAGGTTCCTTTTTTTTTAATATATATTTTTACTATTAAGCAACTGTACATAAACCAACTAGTTGAAAATATACTGCTGTCATTATTACAAATATAACGCCGTAAAAAGGTTACATCCACTAGATGCGATATCATGCCAGAAGAGACCAAAGCGGCTATGAGTGGTTTTTGCCAACTGTAAAAGTTAAAGAAAATTCCCATACTACTCCATATCCTTCATGTTGCTCAGCAGATCAGAGAATTGCGATCAAGTAGGGCATTGAGAAAGAACCAGCACCCCCCAAGCCTGACATTGGATCCTTTAAATCTTTCATTTCAGAATTTAGTTCTGCAGAATCCTTGGTATTGGATAAAGCAGTTCCTTCTACCTTAAGTTTGTCGAGCAACCAGACATACTGGAAAAACCTCTTGTTCATTTCAAGAGCTCCCTTCCTAAAACTCTTGTCAATAGCACCAAACTTGCATATCAAATAACCCATATTAGTGGACTTGCCAGAGGCGACATGTCCAATGACCACAATGTTAAATGTTAAGTTTGTCTTCACCCATTCTCAGGTTCTTTGTATATAACTTCCAACAATTTTTTTTCATGATATGTGTTTATTGCATGATCGCATTTCATATTACATAAATCTTGATGATGGGAATATGAGTGCTATGACTAAAAATATGAAGAAAAAATATGATAAATATTGAGAAGATGTGGAGAAAATGAATTCTTTATTACATGTGGCAGTGGTTCTTAATCCTCGTTACAAGAAAGATTATGTCGATTGGTATTGAAGAAAAACGTACCCCAATGCTGATCTTGCAACCAAGTTGAAGGCAAAAGTAAGTAAGACTTTGATTGAGATTTATGATTTTTATTCACCTCATGATAGTTCAAATCTTGGAGAATATTCCTCTCATACAAGCAATAAGTCTGGCAGAAATAGTGAGAATAAACCTCTTAGCTCACAAGAGAGATGCTAAAATTCAAGTCACGTTTGCAAATGGGAACAAATGGGGAGTGGTTGAAGTTGGAAAATTTTTTAGTTGATGGAAAAGAGAGTTTGGAGTGTTCGTTTGATGTGTTAGCTTTGTGGAAGACAAATTCGACAAAGAATAAGGTTTTGTCTAAAATTGCAAGGAATGTATTGATCGTTCCGTTTTCTAAGGCTGCTTCAGAGTCCGCATTTAGTGCAGGTGGTCGTTTGTTGGATCCATTCCGGAGTAGTCTTTCTCCTAAAATAGTGCAAACACTCATATGCATGCAAGAGTGGATTCGATGTGAGTACAAAAAAAAAGAAGAAGGTTGACTATCGAGATGCCTTGAAAGAAATCAAAGAGTTTGAGATGCTTGAAAATGGTACGATTAATTTTTTCTTAAAAAAATTTCCTTTAACATTTGACTATCTATGATCGTAACATACTTTATTTGTAGTTGTAACAAATTCTTGGTTTCTATTTGTTTCAGATTTTGTAACTCATGTAACCATTTGCTTAGACAATATTGAATGACAAGAGGAGAAGAAATATGTTTGTAAGAATAAAGAAAATAAGTTTGTATGTTTGTACTTTTTTGTTAGTTTCATTATGAAATATGTTGATAGTGATTTGAAATTACGTGAAATTCACATTTGGATATATTTCTACTTTTGAATATAAATTTAAAAGTTGGAAATAGTCAGTCCAGGAGGAGATTGCATCTTGTATGAAGATAAAGTGATATACCTCTTCAGAATTTCTTAGATTGAGGACTTAAAATCTTTATATATATATATATATATATATTGGTTTGTTTTGTTTTCTTTTAAGTATTTATTTGCATTGAATTTGGAGTTTCATTTTCTATTTCCCTATTTTTGGTTAACATTTTGGATGTTCTTTAATTTTAATTAGAGATCTGTATGGTGTTAAATTGTAATTAGTAGTAAAAAGTTGTATTCTTTTTGTTGCAAATTAAAAAAAAGCTCTATTTGTTGCTCAAAAGGAGAAAGAAATAGAAGGCCTAAGTTTTGGCCCAAAAAAAAAAAAAAACCGAAGTGAAACCAAAATTATAAAATCGTAGAAATCGGAGCATTGATAACGAATTGGTTTGATTCGGTTTCTAACGGTATACTGGTTTGGTTTCGGATTCAAAATTTTTTAAACTGTTTTAACAATTTGGTTCATAGTTTTGGCTAAAAACCGGACGATCCGGGCCGTGCACACCTCTAAACTGGATACTTAAGTTTAGAAAAAGTTCAAGGAAGCATGAGCTTGATTGCATGCCTTCCAAATAGTAAAAATTCAGAATTTTTTTGCCAAAACTGTTTCCTAATCCATAAGTGGAATTGGGAAAACGAAATAATGATTTGGATAAGGGTGATTTGGATAGTAGTTTTTACAAAACAAGGTGCTTAGAGTGGAGTGGTTCAAGATAGTGGAAAAAAAGGTGTAAAGTCTGTCTCATTTGGAGAAAGAGAGGATTTTCTCTCACTTGAACTGTGGAAAGAAAATGATTGTAAGGAAATAATTGTTGAGTGTTTCGTCCAACAAGAATAAAGTAATTTTAAATCATGGCTTGATGGTTGTACGCTTTGCAAATATACTAAAAGGTAGAAAGAAAAAGTTGCGGTTAAGTGCTTTGATCACGACTTGAACTTGGAACAATCTTGAATTAAGCGTTGACTATTACTCCCTCGTATCTTTATTATAAGATATTTTGATTTGTCTTAAATTTTATCTAGTATATTTTTCTCATTGAAAATAAAATCTTAAAATATGTGTTTTCACATTTACTATGTTCTGCTAATGATTATAAATTAAAATATTTTTAAGATTTTATTTTTTACTTGGAATAACATACTAGTACTAGATAAAATTTAGAACAAATCAAACTATTACTATAGTAAAAAATCTATAAATTAATACTATTAGGACCCCAAAAAATTATAAATTTTAAGATGTATTAATTTATCGATAAATTAATAGTTATTAATTTATCAATAGATATTAAGCAATAGATTAACAATTGGTTAATAAAATTTTTAGAGACATTGTAACTACTGTCACTAAAACTTTGATTTAGTATGATGATTCAGTATTTTTTTGAAACCAATTGTTCGAGATAAAGCACTTAATGAGGCAATAACTTTTCAAAATTTTTTGTTGTAAAATGAAAAATCTACACATAACTTTTGAAAATAATAGAAAAAAATCAAAGATAAAATAATGCGTTATTAGATTCATATTTTACAGTTCCTAATTTTTGTAAAATATATTTCAAGTCATTATTAATTTATGATATTGACACGTCCTATATTTACATAGGAACTTTTTGAAAAATTATTATTTTATTGATTGACTTTATTTTTTGTACTAGTCCCGACTTGAGACCAGAGAAAATTATTAATTTATAGATGTTATTAATATATCAATTATTAATTTATAGATGCTCTACAGTATATTATAATAAGAATAGGAGGAGGTGTGTAATACTATATTTAAATATTTAAATGTCAAATCGCTGTTGCTCACGTATATAAACTACTCTATCCGGTCCTTATTTTGCCGGTCTGCCCCAAACTCGGAGAAACCATCGATACCCATCCCATTATCTTCCCAATCTCATTAACGCCGTTGCTCCCAGTCCCCCCACCAAGGATGCCGGCAGAGAACACCTCTCAGTTAATCTCACCACCGCTTATCTTTTTTACTTTATCAATCGGAAACACCCATTTGTTTTGTAAGTGTTTTAAACTCAATCAAAGTTGGTCCATGCCATGTTGTTCTCAAAGATGCAGTGACAAACCTCAATTTTACTCAAACCTGAACCAAGAGCCAAAAATTCTCCATAGTTTTGACTCCATCTGAATTTATCAGTATGACAAATAGCAACTCTTTGATCACTGATTAATCTTCACTTTGGATTTGGGGTCAAGTATATGCGCTTCGTATACCCAAATCTTCCGGACCGAAACACAGTAGTAATACATCCGATGGCAAGACAACGACTTTGTGATCCGCCCTAGTAACTTCTCCGATCATGATGTTTCCTCCTTATCCGTGAGCATTCTCGGTACTTCGAACGGCGATATTTCTTGCCAGCATCGACGTCGCGAAATCAATACCTTTTTCGCTGCCGGCACACCGTTTCATCTCTCCGGGGCTCGGCTCTCTGTCGGCATCGATGGTGGGAGCATCGGCGGCCTTAATGGGGTGGAGAACATCGTGGGATGAATAGTGATCGGTTTTTCCGATTTTGGGGCAGACCGGCAAAAATCAAGGGAAATTAAAACTAAAAGAAATCTGTAATTAAAAGTATAAAACACATGTCACCTTATAATTTGTTTGCTGCACATTGCATGGAATATTTTCTCATATTTTTAAGTTTTAAAAACATCAATGAAAGCTAGGACATCAAAATGAGGGAGTATACTACATAGAATAACTGGACAACAATGTGATTAGATGCAAGTCGAAAGTGACATAAACAACGGACGAAAAAGTCGAAAACTAAACACGATTGATTGAAGTTCCGTGCTAATCTTTTCTTCTTGGACCTTGTCAAAGATGTAATAATGTAATGATTGCTTTAAAAATTCATCAATTTGCTGCACGAGTTAAAAATTAGAGAGCTAATCTAAATCATGGCTTCATAAAAAATTAAGAATGATGAATAATTGGAACAGAAGAACACTAAAGAAGTAGAAAGCGGCTAATTACAGCATTTTGTAGATCCTGACGAAAGATTGTTTGGACTGGTTCCAAAATAAAAAAAAAAAATCCAATCTTTCCCCCATTTGAAATGAAGTGGGTTTCTTTCAGATTCTTCAATTCTGTTCGCGAACAAATAGAATACACACACACTATACATTGATTGACATCTGCCTCTTTGGTTTGGGTTTTGGCATCAATCTTTGTCAGCAAGTATGCCCCTTGTCCCCAGTTTCTTGGTATTAGTCTCTTTTATTCCACAACCAATCATAAAAATTTGAATCCTAACCTGCTTTTGAAAGCTAACCCAAATCCCAACTCAAAAATATCTATTTCATCAATACTGTAAACTGGGATAGCCCTTTTGGCCCCAACCACCAGGATATTCTCCCATGGCGGAAGATGACGGCCGCGAGGTAGATAGGAATTCTTTTCTTTTTTTTTTTTTTTTCCCCTTCTCGATCTTGAATTAGAGGTCACTGTTCTGTGGATAAAGTTGTTTCTTCTTGACAGGTTGAAAGTAATGATGGGCATCTTGATCAGATGTACACGTTGGACGAGGCGCTTACAGTTGTGGGTTTTGGGAGATTCCAAGTTATGGTGCTTCTTTATGCTGGATTTGGGTCTATGGCGGAGGCTATGGAGATTATGATTCTGTCTTTTGTTGGGCCTGCAGTTAAGTCCGAGTGGGGGCTTTCTTCTGCTCAAGAGAGCTTGATAACTACTGTTGTCTTCGCTGGCATGCTCATTGGTGCTTATTCCTGGGGGGTTATTTCAGATACCTACGGAAGGAGGCAAGTTTATTCTTCTTTTATACCTCATTCTGTTTCTGTGTTAAGTTCATGGTGGGTTGATGTTACTGAGCATCTAATTTGAGTTATTAGGCTGTTTTTTTTTTTTTGGTTTGCTATCAGTGCCTTGCAAGAATAATAATGAGTTGAGCTGAAAGACAGTTGACGTGAGTGGATTTCATGTTAGTTAGACTATTCCTAGCTTTGGAAAAATAGTTCTAGTAGCTCTATAGCAGGTTCTGTAGCTTAAAATCTATATTGGCTTAAAATTGAAGTAAAGACTTGTTGTTCGTTTTCTAAGTATAGCAGTCATTATTGCCGTGATTCTTCCACCTTTCCTTCAAGGGATCAAAGGAATTCTCAGAAGGGGATATCTTGAGTTGTGTAAAGAATGAAATCAGAATTAAGCTAAAGAAGCACTGTTTCAGCACAGAGGACAATCATGTGAACAGTTGCATTTTTTTTGCTCCTTAGAGATTATCCCAGCATATTCGTACTGATAAAATCATGCAGAAGTTTTGAGGAGTGGCCAACGAATAACATTAGCCGAATTATCATGTAATAGTCAGCTTCTGATTTGTTAATGTTTTCACCTAACAGCATGAATGTATTAAAGTCATTCAGGACACTATGGGAATGTTGGAGAACAACACCAGAAATAATTTGATCTTCAACCCAGTGTTGTTCCTGACTTTTGTTTGATAAATACTAACAGTACATTGGATTCAGTAAATTCCTTGTTGTAGCTAATTAGAGATTGCCTGCAGATAATTGATTTAGGAATCTATGTACTGAAAGTGCTGATATTGGGCAATTGTGGTCATCAGGAGGTTGAAAATGGTAGAGGTTTGATTTTGGGGTCTTGTTGAATAGGGTGTTACAAACAATCATTTAAGAGCGATTGTGATTTGTTTTACCTGAATCTCTGGTTTCTAGAAGATATAGGAATGTTAATCTGGTGTTTCAAATGTTGCTTAGGGTGAAGGTTCACAGACTGGTATGTTGGGGCTTACTTTATAAGTTCAAAATCATATTAGTCTTCGTTATTATAAATTAGCTAATTTCTATTGAGTTACTGGAGTAGTTCGACTTTCGGGATCATTACCATTAATTGATTTTCCGGAAGTTAATTCAATGTACCCCCAAAAAGAGATGTGCTACTCATCCTTTGAATGACAAAACGATTTTCGTAATTCTCAATTTATGTTATGCTATTGAATGTGAGTGACAACAGATGCTTCGTAGGGATCTCTTATGAGGATACGTTAGCATTGTGATTTGAGTTTCGGAATAATCTGAAGAAGTATTTGATGTCAGATTTACTGAAGGGCACCCTTTTCTGCTGGAAACTTGTACAGCTAGTCTTGTTTATGAGGTTGGTTTAGTCTTGTTTAGAAGGTTATGTTTTAGTCATACTTGCTTTTTGGTGGAACACGTTTAGGGGGTTGCTTTAGCCTTCTTTGTGCCAGAGGATGTTCCCGACTTCTGCTGATTTTGAGTTATCACTTCTTATTCTATGAGACCATGGCATTTCAATTTAGTGATTTTTAATTGGCACAATGCTAAATATTCATGTTCACATGCGAAACCTTTTTGTCCACTAATCAAGAAAACATGGTGAATTTGAGTGCTTAAGCCATATCCATGCTCCACTGGCAGTGACCAATTTTCGGTATGCTGCATCAGAGATCATTACATAATCAACAAAATTTTGAGTTGTTATTATTGAGTCATGTACTGAGGTCATACCTGAACTATTATGATGCAGAAACAAAACTGAAGTTTCCTTGGCAGCAGTTTTTTTAACCAATGCTGCTACTCATTCTCACTGCATTTTGTCACTTTGTTGAAGTTGAATAAGATGACTAAACAACTACATCTTTGGGAATATCTTAGCAGTTTAGTTATTTTTGTGATGACCTTGCTTTACCTTGTTTGACTTATATATGCTTCAGTTGCTTCTTCTTTATCCGCAGTTTATTGCTGATGTTAAAATCAGTGTTCCTAGTCAGTTTAGTTCGATTCACTCCTTACCTTTCGGTCATTAGGCACTGCAGTCTTAGTTATTATAGTTTGTACATGTGATCATTTAGCTCAGGAGAAATAAAAACTCTTCCATTTTCTGCTTCCAGGAAAGGTCTACTGAGTGTACCTTTCGTGACCTCGATATTTGGTTTCCTCAGTACTTTCTCCCCCAATTATGTAATGCTGATTATTTTCAGAATGTTGGTTGGTGCTGGCCTGGGGGGTGGGCCTGTATATACTTCCTGGTTCCTAGAGTTTGTACCACCACAGAAAAGGGGAATTTGGATGGTTATATTCTCCACATTCTGGTCCATTGGGACAATACTCGAGGCTTCGTTGGCATGGGTTAGTTCTTTTAGCATCTTCGTTTTCTGAATCATTTGAAGGATTTAGATTATATGATTTTCCTTTCCCATTCCTGGTTTTAATTCTCTTTTTCTTTAATTTGTAAATTGAAGTTTTTGGCATTTAAATGCTTTTGATAAACAAAAAAACACCCAAACTTCTTTTTTGGGGTTACAGTGTAAACTATCCCAAGTCCTAATTGGTTGTTGATACTTAACTCTACACGAGGCAAATGAAGAGTTCCGGATGTCTTGCTTACTTTGAAGAGTTTTATAACTACTCAACGAAATACAGATTTTTTATCTTGTTTTTTGTTCCATTAGCAATTGTTTTTAGACACATTGGTTTTCCCTGGATACAAATGTTGAAGTAATTGTTTCAACATCTTTGTAAAGATAGTATTATTTATGTCACTTATGGTGGTAGAAATTGCATGTGTGTGTACATGCAACTGTGATGCTGTACTTCAAAGAGTGTATTTGGGTTGCCAATAATTTAAATCTGATGATTATACTTTTGATTAGATGAAGCTTTTTGGAAAGAGAAACATCATGTTGCTAATCCACCATTCTGCACTAATTATACTCTGTTTTAGGACACATAACATCAAATTAATGGTCAATGACTCAATGTGTATTATAGTTGCTTTGTATCAATGCCAATTGCTTGGTATCAATGCCAAATGACTCATGACTTAGAAACACTATTTGGTCTGAGAAGAAATTAAATCTTATATTCTGAATAGTCGACAATAATGTACTTGAGTAAGGGTCTTACATTAGTAAAGGCTTTGTCAAGTAGTGTCTTGATGTTATAGTTCTTAAAATGGTATAATCTTTGTCTGACATACAGTAGTTGACAAGTTCCCCGCCTATTTTACTTTATAATAGTGCTATGGCCTTTAGTTTAATGAACATATAAAATCTGCTTAGGTATGAAAATATGAAAATGACTTTCCACATAACTGTAGTGTGCAGCAGTGATTGTCATTTGAATTGAATACAATTCTTGAGGCTTTTCTATATCTTTGAAAGAAAAGAAAACTTATTTTTTCTCACACTTTCTGCAGATAGTTATGCCAAGACTCAGTTGGAGGTGGTTACTTGCTTTGTCATCGGTACCATCTTTTGGAGCCCTCATCTTTTATGGTTTTGCTATAGAATCTCCTAGATATTTATATATGAAAGGGAAAATGAGTGATGTGCATGATATGCTAAGACAAATGTCCGCAGTAAACGGAAAAAAATTGCCTGCTGGACTACTTGTTTCTGATGAGACACCAGACCCCGATGAAGAATATGCTCCTGTGGAACAAACCCGGTTGCTTTCTTCAGAGGCCAAAGGAGACTTACTTTCTAAAACTGGCTTGTCTTCTGTTATTATGTTATTCTCAACAAGATTAGTGAAAACTACGATTCTAATATGGATTGTCTATTTTGGCAATGCCTTTGCATATTATGGCATAATTCTGCTGACCTCAGAGATAAGCAGCGGACGGAGTCAATGTACCTCAAATACTCCAAATTCTGGTATATCCAAAACTGATGATACTAGCCTTTACAGAGATGTATTTGTCACTAGCTTTGCAGGTGTGTTTTAAGATCTTCTGGTTGCACTGTACTTTTCCTTTATCAAATGATTCCTTTCGTTATATCTCTCTCAGACTCTCACCAAAGTTAATATTTAAAGTCCTTTTTTGACCTTTTTCAGAGCTTCCTGGACTTGTTCTATCTGCAGCGATTGTAGATTACATTGGTCGAAAAAGATCCTTGGTGCTTATGTATGGCTTGTGTTTCTTATTCCTTTTACCGCTGTTGACCCATCAGAATGAGTTTGTGACAACTGCCTTATTATTTGGAGCTCGAATGTTCATCATTGGGACATTTTGTGTAGCTGGTATATATTGTCCAGAGGTAAAACACTGAACTCAGTTGTTGATTGTTCTTTGTAACTGTTGCCCCTTTTTCTCTGATATCTGCTGTGACAGATGTTCGCTCACTTATTCAGGAAAACAGTATAATAATCTATAATATCTAAGCCTAATGCGTCCTGCATGGTACTTCAAAATGCTCAAAATCAAAAGTAGAAACTTTGTGTTAAAATAAGTCAAACCACCACACGGCACCTAACCGGATCCTGTTCACTGTGTCATCTGAATGCCTTGATTTGACTTTTGTTCGTTTCTGGGAAGTTGCCATTGACATCATATGTTGTTATGAGCGAAAAGGGACATTGTTAGTGTTTGTGATTTCGAGCGCTTTCTTGCAGATATATCCAACTGCTGTGAGGTCAACTGGGAGTGGAGTTGCGAGTGCCATTGGAAGAATCGGAGGGATGATCAGCCCTATTGTTGCTGTACAATTGGTTTCGGGTTGTAACGTGACGCCGGCTATTCTGTTCTTCGAGCTTGTAATTTTTCTGGCAGGAATTAGCTCTATGCTTTTTCCCTTCGAGACAAGGGGACGTAAACTAATTGATACGGTTGATTAGTGTGTAGTTTGCCTCAAGATGTTATTCACTGCTTAAACTTAATAGAATTTTGGTATAAAAATGCCACACATTTGTTGCTATATTCGCTTACAAAAAGATAATCCACTTTGTTGAACTGAAACAAAGGTCCGCTCTTACGCAAAGATCAAAGAATACTGAATATATGAAGCATGATTAAAAGAATTCTAAGAACAAAGGCTTATAGTATGCTTAGTTGAAGAGAAAAACGTAGACTAAACAAAAGTTAACAATCGCATATTTGCTGCTATCATTAACTAATTTCAGAGCACCCCTTCTTAAAGCTCTATACTCAGCAGATTTAAGTGCATTTTACGTTGTAAAGGTTTTACTTATACTTTGAGGGAACTCACATATTGAAGAAAGCTCACTAATAGCAGTGGTATTTTCCGGGATGTTCATTGGTTCTTATTTTTGGGTCCTCATCAGATCACTTGGGATCATCAAAGATTCCCTGTATTACCCTACTCAATGTCAAAATTATACTACTTGAAATATTTACAACTCCTGACAAAATTAAACTACTCAATGTTAAAATTACACTACTTGAAATATTTACAACTCCTGACAACATTAAACGAGCTCTTATAGTCTACTGATTTTTTTTTTGTCCTAACATTACACAGCAAATAAACGATTGTTGTGAATACGCTGAAATCACAATACATCACACGTGATTTCATATATATATATATATGTGTGTGTGTGTGTGTGTGTTTGTTATAAAAACATTTAGAATGTTTTGCATTCAAGGGATGAAGAAAACTAAAATCCAAATCAAAATTGAAATTTTTTGCAGGAGTACGTCAATATTTCCGTCTAGAACAGAAGATCGACGAAGAAGTCGACGACTGTTTTCTTACTTTTTAATTTTTTGCCATTTTTTTTTTTTGGGGTCAAATTTGAGTTTTTCTATTTATCTTTTTTGGGGATAATTTTTCATCAAAATCACTTTATGGCCAAATTTTATGAATATTTTAGTAGAATGAGTAATGGAAGATTCGCTGGTCGGACCCCAAGTTATATTCTAAGTAATTTTTCAACTCATGGAGTACATCACTTTCATTGTGCTGCCATCCTTTACATATACTGAGCGAATTTCTCTATTTACAATTCTTCATAGAATTTCTCTATTTCTTAGTTCAGTACGAGGGTTCCGTCTCTTAGTAATAGGCTCTTTGGGAATTGGGGTGGTGTCAATTTTACTGCCCAAGTTTCTAATTTTGGGATAGATGAAGTATTTGTTTTTATTTTGTTTTTAATTTCGAAAAAGTTACTTTAAAGCTTATTGTGTGAATATGCTTATATTTATCTTATTCTAAAGATGTTCGTCCATGTTCGTTGACGAATAAAAAACCTTAAAGATAATGATTCGATAATCGCATTTCTCTAAAGCTTTTTCATACAAGAATCTTGCCATTCCCATCCTTTGTGTGATGTTCTTTGTGGGTGCTAAATCATCATCAGTTTGTTTGGATCCAGGTGAATAACAATATAACAATATTGTAATGTTGTTATTAGAATCATTTTTACAAGACAAATCTAATACTCCATCCGATCCTTATTATAAGGTATTTTGAAAACATAACGAATATGAAATTATATTTTTAAGTTTTTTTTTTCCCAACTAAAAATCCTAGGTGAAATTTAGAAAAAAAAAATAAATTATCTTATAATAGGACATGAGGGAGTACTGTAGTACTCATTTTTTTAAAAAAAAATAAAAAAATATTATCCTCGTTTCACATTGATGTTTTTTCTTAATGCGTTACTGTAGATCAAGTACGTGCACGTATTAACTTTCCGAATGTAGCAAGTCACGAATTACATTTGCGCCTATAATGGATTATCTTCACATATTGTCACACTCACACGAGTAACAATAAAATGAATGATTTTTGTGTAATGATGCCACAAATTGCTTAACCCATAAAAGTTAAGATGCCATGGGAGTTGAATTATGATTTTCTTTTACTATGTTCGTTTGGTAGGTGTAGTTAGTCTTTTCTATTACATAGCAGGGAAAAAAAATCGGGTGAGAATTACTCCATCTGTCCCAAGATTATTGTCCAGTTTAGATTTTTGACTTTTAGTTCAATTTTTACTAAAACTGAAAATCCAAACTTGATAATAATTTTGTGACGGAGAAAATATTACTTTTATCAATAATCATTTTGTTATGTTACACGATATTACCCTCTTTTCTCTATTACCTACAACTTTTTCTCGTCAATCTTCCAATTTTCTTGGGTAAGAAACAATAATGAGCTAAATCAAATGCTTCAACATATAGTGACATTGTGGTAATAGCAAAATATATAATGATCTGAAGTTGGTCTAACAAAATAGCAATGATCGAGTGGAAGTGCGATAAGAAATTGCGAGTAGATATATGAATCTACATTAATCGTGTTGTTTATAGTAAAAGACAATCTGACACGGGAATGTTCCTACTATTAGGGTTTAACTAACGCGAACAAGAACAATAATACAAAGGAAAGATTTCTGGACGGTGGAAATTAATATATACGACCAATTTTTTTTTTTTAAAATAAAATAAAAAATTGAGAACTCAAATTGCCCTTTGTTTAGTTTTCTGGGTTACCTTAATCATTAATTACTCGCATTATTGTGATTGGAGGGTCGGAAATCTGCTCTTTTGATCTTTATGATCTTACATTTTAATATAATAACAACGGATATTGCTCAAAGAATCGCACATGATAATTAAAAAAATTCTAACAACAAAAGCTTTTAGTTTGCTTAGTTGAAGAGTATTAGCCATTGTTGATTACCCACTATACTAAAGTTAAAATCGAATATTTTACTACTTTCATGAACTAATTTTTATACATCAAATCAAAGTAGCCTTTCTTTGAAGAAATCTTTATTCTTAAAGCTCCATACTCAGTAGTTTTAAGTGCATTTTACGTTGTAAAGGTTTACTCATACTTTGAGTCGAGATGCACTGCTTTGCATGCATTCCCATTAATTTCTGATTATGTTCAAAATACTTTTTGTTTTGTTATTGTTATTATAAGTGTTGAGTATCCTACGATCGGTGGTGGTGGGAAAGACTTAGTATCAATATATAAGTCTATGGATTACTCCCCTCATTGTGAATTGGTTTTGAGGTAGAACCCGGTGGACTTCTATAATAAGTACTATGATAAGTGTAAGTTTTCACCTGAAATATTCATGCACGATAATTGTTGAGTTAGGAAGATTTTACGTGTTACATTTTTTCTTTTTTTTTTGTTTTGACTACTTGAGATGGAGGACCAAAGCAGGGGATTCACTCCAGAGGAAGCGATTTCTGCAATTGGGTTCGGGAAATTCCACTGTCTAGTACTAATTTTTGCTGGATTTGGGTGGATTTCAGAAGCAATGGGAGTTATGCTTCTTCCCATTGTTGGAATTGCGGTGAAATCCGAGTGGGGAATTTCACCTGGTGAAGAAAGCTTGCTTACAACAGTGGTGTTTGCCGGGATGCTCATTGGTTCATATGTTTGGGGAATCATATCAGATGCCCACGGAAGAAGGTAAAAAAAGAACTGTGTAAGTGGACTATTTATCTGGGTCGGATCATATCAGTGGCACTAGTTAACTAGTTGTTGTTGTTGTTCTACTTCAAAAGGGGCAGAGTATTGGATGATTTCTCTTTGGAGCTTCTCAATGATTGGTGGTTTTTCATCACTATCTGACTGATCTTTTTACTTTGTTTCTTTTCATGTTACAGGAAAGGCTTCATCAGTGTAGCAACAGTGGTGGCTGTGACAGGAATTTGTAGCGCTTTCTCGCCAAATTATGTATCGCTTCTGGTATCGCGTTGTTTGCTTGGTTTTGGTGTCGGAGGTGGCCATGTATTTGCAGCATGGTTCCTAGAGTTCATCCCTACCCATAGTAGAGGTGCTTGGGCATTTGCATTGGCAAGTTTTTGGTCATTTGGAACTATACTTGAGGCTTCACTTGTTTGGGTATGTATTGCAGTTTTTGCATCAGATCAATTCATTATCACTTGCATTGTTTGGCTTACATTTCTGAAGTTATAAATGGTGTATATATTCCATTTGTTTGCAGATCATTATGCCGAGATTCGGTTGGAGATGGCTCATAGCTGTATCTTGCTTTCCATCTTTCTTAGTGCTGCTCCTTTCTTCCTTCACTCCTGAATCACCAAGGTACCTTTGTGTAAAGGGAAAAATGGGAGAAGCCCGAAAGATATTGGAAGGAGTGGCCTCAATGAACAGAACAAGTCTCCCTCCTGGAATTCTTGTGTTAGATCACACTATAAAGACAGATGAAGAATATGCTGCATCACCAATGAATACTCCTCTTCTCTCCTCAGTGAAACATTGCAGCTCAGACTCTCATGGATCGCCTTTTTTCGCGCTATTCTCGCCAAAACTGTGGAGGGCAACTCTTCTTTTGTGGATTTTGTACTTTGCAATCACCTTTTCATACTATGGAGTTGTGTTCCTGAGCCCAGAGCTGAGCAACAGAACAGCTGAATGTGGATCGAAAACTAATCTGTGGAAATATCACGCGGATTCTAGCCTGTACCGGGATAATTTCATCACTGCTTTAGCAGGTAACTACCTCTCCACATTCTTCCACTCACCTTTCAGAGAACTTTAACATTATGGCAGCACTAAATAAAGAAAAAAAAAAAAGAAAAAATATCAATCTCATTTTGATTTTCCATGTGATTACATATGTGAAATCACCTTGTTTTTATTCAGACTTGCTTGGACTTGTCATATCTGCAACAATCGTCGATAGATTAGGCCGAAAGCACAGCATGGCGATTTTCAGCTTCTCGGGTTTCATTCTGTTCCTACCGCTGATAGTGCATCAGGATGGTGATATCACCACAGCTCTACTTTTATTCGGGGCTCGCCTCTGCATTTCATCATCATTCAGCGTTTTTGTTGTCTACATAAGAGAGGTAAACCTCATAATACACCTCTTTAATCACACAAATTTCGCAACAAAATATGGCCGTTATCCCATTTACATTATTTACAAAAAGTGATACAGAAGATCTTTTAAACGAATATTCAACCTTAAAAGCGTGTGAATGTTTGTTACAGGTATATCCAACTCAAGTAAGAGCTACAGGAGTTGGAACAGCAACATCAATTGGAAGTATAGGTAGCATGATATGTCCTATGGTAGCAGTTGGTTTAGTAAGGGATTGTCATCAGACAGCAGCTATAGTTCTATTTGAAGCTGTAATAGCTTTGATAGGAGTTTGTGTACTTTTGTTACCTATAGAAACCAGTGGGAAAGGGTTAAGTGACACCATCCCTTAATCTGATGAGGAGTAAATTTTGCAAACCGTTGAAAGTGAAATTTTGTCTGTGTATATATTCTCCATTGGCTCTGTATATCATGAATCTCCCTCATGAATAATGGGATATCCACAACATAAGAGTGAAATACTTGTATGACATACACCCTCCCTCCCCCCACCCCCCAAACCTAAATTCTCTTTGTTCAACAAAAAAAAATATAACCAAGTGAATTATATTTTGATAAAGTTATGTTACAGAACATATCGGGAATCCGGATATCTGATAGGTCGAAATAAAGTGAAAATAATATATTTAAGATAAATTTTAAAAAGTAAGTAACAATATTATTTGGATATTATTTATTCTTATTCATTTCTTTATTCTTTTTCTTTTTTCTTCATTTCTTTTTTTTTTCCTCCCTTTCACCATAGTGTAACAGAACTCTCAACCACCTAGAGGAGCTAAGTTCCTACATTGCCAATCGAAAGGAGAATTCATCTCCTTAACAACGTATTGACGGATAGAAGTGAAAGCAAGACAAGAGTTATTTTATTTTCAGTATGAGATAATGTAATGAAAAAGTCACTCGCACCTTTGTCATTACAAAATTTTAATGTTATTAGCTGCAACTATAAATTTTGCGCGGTTTTAATTCGTGAAATTTCTGAATTCGTCACTGAGAATAAAGGGGGAAAAAAAAAGTAATAACTAAAATCTTAGTTGATGAGGTATGTGCTGACCAACACAAGTTGTTCACTAACGTGAAGTTTGGGCTACTAATTAAGTTGCAATCACTACAAATATGGGAATAATTAGTACAATAATTAAAGGGTTGTTTCTTTTTCTTTTTATTTAAGTAGAATCCTGACATTGATTACTCATATAATGCTGGATTTGTCCCTATCACATTAGTGCAAAAAAAAAAAAAAAAAAAAAAAAACTGGAATGTATGAACATATCAGCTATAGTGATGATGTTTCATGCTTGGATTTTAGTTATTGTTCACATAATATTGTTTTTTTTAAGGTTAATGCTAGTACCAATCAATCAGTCACTATTAGTACTACAATTGTCCCAAAACATCAAACAAATCAAAACAGCTGAAGCTGACATATGTAGTCACTTTCAAATGATAATGCCAACAATCATATGGTGCTGAATTCAATGGTCATTCTTTTTAACTTCAGCTCTTTCTGTGTGTTTTGCACTTTTTCAGAAATTGAGAGCTGAATCCACAGTTCTTTTTCTTCTTTTTTTTCCTTCTTAGTTGCATGTGGGAGACAATTGTTTTGGATTGGAATGTTTTGGAAATCCCACATGCTGATTTGGTTGCAAGTGGCGACTGATTCAAGATCTTGAGCTTTTAGATTCTAGTTGAGGTATACTTAATTATGTTATCTTTTTTTTTTTTTTTTCCTTTCTTGTTCGTCTTCTCCTTTAACATGAATTTTCCCTGTTATAACGTTTTTTCTGATAATGATTCAAACAGGTTTGGGTCACTAACATCGAAAAGGCCCCACAAAAAAACTAATTGGAGATTTCTGAGGTATGGAAATGGAATCCTGTTGTGGGTTGAAGAACAATGAACTCATTCATTAAATCTTTCTGAGGATGTAGTCCTTTCAGGGTTCCATCTTAAGGGCTCTGGGATACTATTAAATTAGTCTATTCAGAAGACAATCGGAATAAAACATTAATTTCTCCATATTAAGAAAAACGTTGTGATCATAGACATTTTGGTCGATTCGGGTTGCATTAAGAAAATGAACTAGCCTTGGAAATCACAGCTCTAAGTTGCCCTTTAAATGATCAATGCAGATCTTGAAAATGTGAAGAATCAGTTTACATTTTGACTTGTTAGCTTGGTTTTCTTAGATGGGGGATCAGAGCATGGAATTCACTCCTGAGGAAGCGATTTCGGCTATTGGATTTGGGAAATATCAGGTCCTGGTTCTGATCTACGCTGGAATTGGATGGATTTCAGAAGCAATGGAAATGATGCTTCTCTCCATAGTTGGCATAGCAGTAGAATCTGAGTGGGGGCTATCTCCTGGTAAAGAAAGCTTGCTGTCAACAGTAGTTTTTGCAGGCATGCTTGTCGGTGCTTATGTTTGGGGCATCATATCAGATGCCTTTGGAAGAAGGTAGTCTATTCAGACTTCAAAATTCATTTTACTTTTCATTCTAAGTTTCTAACTGTGGAAATTCTATGAATATGTGGACTCTATATGTTTTCATGTATCACTTTGCAGTTGAAATATTCAAGAAATGATTTTTGTTACTATGCTGTAACTCTTTTTGCAGGAGAGGTTTCATTGGTACCATGGTAGTGGTGGCTGTAGCGGCATTGTGCAGTGCTTTTTCGCCTAGTTATCGATTACTTCTGGCGTCCCGTTGTTTGCTAGGTTTCGGAGTAGGAGGTGGCCATGTATTTGCAGCATGGTTCTTGGAGTTTATTCCTGCACCAAACAGAGGGGCTTGGGCTTTTGTTCTAACATGTTTCTGGTCATTCGGATCAGTAGTTGAAGCTTCACTTATTTGGGTATGTGTGGATACCTTCTTCTTTCCATGAAATTAGTCAAATGTTTCTGCATATTTGAATGTGACTTATTTCAGTTTATAATAACCAGTTCAGGAAGCTGATTCAGTTCTGAGATTAGCTTCTCTTCACCTTTGCCTCTATCCTCAGTTCTTGAATATCTCATTGTAAAATTCCTTTCATTTGGTGTCACAAAAAAAAAAGACCCTGATGTTATCTTTCTTATCACTTGACTTAATGTAATGATCTCCTGCTTTTTGTAGATTATCATGCCAAGATTGGGTTGGAGATGGCTCATAGCTCTATCTAGTATTCCATCTTGGTTAGTAATTTTTTTTTCTGGGCTCACCCCAGAGTCACCAAGGTACCTATGTGTAAAAGGGAAGATGGATGAAGCACGGCGTATATTGGAGAAAGTAGCAACAACCAACAAAACAAAGCTCCCTCCTGGAATCCTCATTTTAGATCAAACAATAAAGAGAGATGAAGAACATGTTGCATTCTTGGATACTCCTCTGGTGTCTGAAAAGCAGTTCTTCTCAGAATCATGCCTATCGTCACTTGTCTCGGTGCTTTCGTCGAAACTACGGAAGACAACTCTCCTTTTATGGATTTTGTACTTAGCAAATACATTTGCATATTATGGAATGGTGCTGTTAAGCTCTGAATTAAGCAATAGAAAGAGTAACTGTACTTCCAGCTCCAGTCATCTGTGGAAGAATGGCAAGGATTCTAGCCTCTACAGAGCTATATTTATCACTAGTTTGGCAGGTATTTGAGTCAACTCTTTCCATCATATACTTCTTTACTATTTCCTTTTGAACATACACACATAAAAAGTGCAGATTAGAAAGATGAAACTGTTCGATTCCTTTTGAGTTTAGTTGTGCTGATACTTTGCATTGTTATTCCTGCATAATGATTTATCTCAACTTTCTTTTCTAGATCTGCCCGGGACTGTTATATCTGGAGCCATTGTCGATAGACTAGGCCGAAAGCAAACAATGAAGGTTTTTTGTGCACTGGGATTCATCTTGCTTCTGCCACTAAGTGTGCATCAGAATGAGATCATGACCACAGCTTTATTATTTGGAGCTCGCATGTTCGTTGTATCTACATTCAACGTGATTGTTGTTTACTCAAGGGAGGTAATCCACTTCTTTTCTTTACATATTTCATCTAGAGTGCACTTTGCCTTAAAAGCTAAAGAAACTCCAAACTGAATTCTACAGAAGCATTTCCTCTATGTAAGAGTGGCCATCTCGACGGCGACTCACATGACCTAACACACTTTGTTGCTGCAGAAAGATCTCAGCGACCCTTAACAAAATTTGTTGACATTTTGGCAGGTGTATCCAACTACAGTGAGAGCTACAGGTGTTGGAATCGCGACATCAATCGGAAGAATTGGGGGCATGATATGCCCACTTGTTGCAGTTGGTTTAGTAAGGGGTTGTCATCAGACAACAGCAGTACTTCTGTTTGAAGCTGTAATACTATTAATAGGATTCTGCATTCCCTTATTGCCTATAGAGACCAGTGGAAAAGGACTAAGTGATACTCTTCCACCGGCTGATGATATAGAGTAGTTTAGCACCAGAACAATAACAGAAATTTTTGTAGTCATCAATTTCCTCTGTGAATGAAGCAGACTGATACAAACTTGGATATGGTAATATGAATGGAAGATATGCAAAATTTTCTTTTGTTGGATTACACTTCAAGAAAAGCGAAGCATGTTATAGTAAGAGATGATTATGAATTTTTAAAATTCTCTGTAAGCATTATCTATGTGAATTTGCGACCAAATATTTACTGGTACACTTTAATGTTTATTTTCCACCTCAAAATTATTATTCAGATTGTATAATAACAATTTTGAGACCCGAAAATTTTAATCCTGGTAAGGGTACCACATAAAATCTGCAAATGTTTTTATTATAAGTAATTCTCTATCTTTTCATAAAATTGTAATCCTTTTAACCTTTCAAGTTTCAACTATAAATTGAGCTAGCAATCTTCCAAATCTTGCTTTTGCATGGGGCATTTAAACTCTAACTTCGGGAATCAACCATACCATGGAATCTTTCATCTTTTCTTCCTGGGAGTGTCTGCAGCAGCGTTGCACCAAATTATCAAATTTACAATGTTGTCCTCTCCAACCACAGTACTTATTTTTACAGCAAAATTTAATGTCTTTTATATTTTTTCCTTATCATCCTTTACTGATTTATATTTAAAAAAAACCCAATCAGATTATTATTATTATTATATAATGACCAAAACATTACTTTTATATTTTGGAAAATACATATCCATTTAATATGAGAATAATTATTTTAATATCAATTGAGTAATAAGTAGTAACTAGATGCTTGGCCCAGGCAGATGCCCGGGCGCCCCCTCTACTTTAATTTTGTGTTAATAGATAAATGAATTTTTGATTTAGAAAAAATAAAATAGCTACACATTTATTTTTTCCCCTTTTTAGCCAAAAATAAAAATAAAAATAAAAAATCATCTGCAAAAGAAGAAAAATATTAAAAAGTACACCGATGCAGAAATCATACAAAAGAATGTGGAGTAATAAAAGGGATAAGTTTATGGACAAATTTAAATCCTATCTTAATTTGATTGATAAATGATAAGTGTTATGAGTTAAAATTGTGTAGCTATTTTTGTAAATTAGCTTTTGTTTTTCCGGATAAGAAGTTTTTTTTTTTTCTTTTAAAAAATGATGACACGTGGCAGAATGGTTAAAGCAATATGGTGCATTTGGAGCCAAATTTTTTTAATAAGAAGTTGCCACATTAACATCCTGTATTCTGCTTTAATAGGGTAAACGGGATAATGTGTAAATTTGATTAATAATTAAGAATAAGATTCAGATATTAGATATTACATATGTTATAAATTTTTAAATATTAATTATATAAACAAATTATAAAAACCTAACAAATAAATTTGAAAGTAAAAAAATAAAAAAAGACAAATCCGTCCTTTGCTGCTGTTGCATGTTTGCAGTAGATTTGGAGCGCAACTGTAGCTTCTGTGCCAACTGCCTGCCCCTTTTGTTGTTTTGTTGCTCCCATTGAAGTCATTAAACCGACACCAAAATTGGTGAATTGCTTCCGCGCTGCATGTGCTCTTAAAACTATTAACATTTTTTTCGCGTAAAAATATAAAATATTTTCGCGTAAAACTAATAAACGACTCCAAATGTAAAAATATATTTTCGCGTTCTCTCAATTATTAAAAAATATTTTTTTAATTGAAAAATATATCAAATAAAATTTAGAACAAAACAAATGTGTTATGATAACTATTAAAAGAGTGCCTGCGCATTGGACCATCCTATTTTGGGGGAGAACAATTGCAAACGAAAGAGCAAATACAACGTCAGCAGAAGAGAACGAAGCTATTATAATATAATACAGTATATACCATCTGTTGACTCGCAGAAAAGAAAAGACAAAAAGAAGAAGAAACCAATTGAAAAAGACACACGATTAATTTTCGTAGGAATCGGAGGCAGCCCATTTGATTTGACTCAACCAAAAGCCTCTTGGAGGAATATGCACGAATGAATGACGAAAGGGGTCCTCGTGTGGAAATTTGGATTGAGTTCGAGTCCTTCCACCTCCAGAATGAATGAATGATTTCCTTGCTATTTTGGAGAAAAATTAGGCCTCAACTCTGGAACCCGTTTCAGAGTTTGCGTTTCTTCGGGGGAATCCCTTGATTTTAAGCTGATTTTTTTTTTTTTTTTTCTTTTGGAGGGGAGGAATTGTTATTTCTTTCGTTTTGAACGAGGAGATTGATCGAGGTTCAGAATATATCGATTGTTGTTGCTTTTAACTAAGTTGGATTCTTTGATTCTGTAATTCAGAGCTGCCCTGTTTTGATATTTGAGGAAACAGGTCTGTTTCGTTGCCCCTTTTTGATCTCTTCTTACGTTTCTGAATGCTTGGAGCTGAAGAGGTTGATTTAGGAACAAGCTTGTTTGGGCCATTGTGTGTGTGTTGTTTTATGCTATTTAAGAACTGAATACTATTTGATTTTGCATTATTATAATGAAATATTTAAGCAAATATTTCACTGATCCATTCCTACTTTGATACAATCGACGAAGAAGTACGGCTTCAGAAAGACTGTTTCTTTGTTTGACATGGCCTTCCTTCACTCCAGTTTCAACCCTACTCACAAATTGAGTAATGAGTAAAACTAGTCTATTTATGGGAGAAGGGAGGACCTTTTAACTTTTTGTCAAATCCTTCTCCAAATATCTTGGGTGGAGTTGAGCTCCTTGATTTTAGTCTACTGTTTGCTAGTAAACGAAGGAGTGTAATCTGATAAAGATAAATGCATCATAAAGCAAGCCTGTAATTTTATGCTTTTGTAACAACAATCTCATTCAGCTCCAAGCATTGGGTTGGCTTGTACTTAGAGCAATCTACATGAAACCCGCCTATTGCTATTCTTTTAATGCCTTGTTATTTGTATTGACTGCCTATCCTAATTCCTTCTGTAGATGGGAGATTCAAGCATTGTATACACACTGGATGAGGCACTTTCAACTCTTGGTTTCGGAAATTTCCAGGCCCTCATACTTCTCTATGGAGCACTGGGATGGGTTGCGGAAGCAATGGAGTTGATGATTCTTTCCTTCATTGGACCTGGCCTTCAGTCTGAGTGGGACCTGTCTTCTAGTGAAGAAAGCTTGATTTCAACTGTTGTTTTTGCTGGCATGTTGATTGGAGCATATTTGTGGGGTCATGTATCAGATAACTGTGGAAGAAAGTGGGTGTTTTTCATTTCTCTCTTTTTTTCTTGTCTCGACTTCTATTTATGACCTTATTCTTGTGATGTTATTTTCAACATTATTTCTGAAATCGGCTGTCCATTTCTAATTTACGACATTCTTTTTTGTGGTTTTCCATGAAGTTTTTGCACTGGAATTTCACACTTAACCATGCTTTCATTTGGTTTCTGAATTTTGCTTGTATTTATGTGGTGCTTGATTTTCTATCTTTATTAGGAAGGGATTTCTCGGTGCTGCTATGTTTAATGCTGCTGCTGGATTCTTCAGTGCTTTCTCTCCAAATTATGCATGCTTGGTCACTCTTCGGTTCATCGCTGGTATTGGTTTAGGCGGTGGTTACTTATTTACTACTTGGTTCTTAGAATTTGTTCCTACTTCAAACAGAGGTTCTTGGATGATAATTTTTTCAAGTTTCTGGACCATTGGATCGATATCTGAAGCTTTACTTGCATGGGTATGGCTATATACCGGAAAAGCTTAACTGAATGGTAGTTCTGTGTCGATGTTTTTTTTTCTGGAGGTTTTTTGGCTTATATGTTTAAACTGGAGACACTGAATGATACCTTCCCTTGAGAAGTATAAAATATCTAGAGATCTTCGTTTACTTTCAGCAGAGAATGGGTATAAAATGCTGTAGTTTATCTGATTCTTGACTAAATTACCTTAGCTAAAACCTGTAAAAACTTGAAATGTTCGTTTGAAACTGAAAAGCTTGTAACAAGGGTACTTAAGCATTGTGCCTTTGTTCTTGATGCATTGAAACTTGTTATCTTTTTGTGGAGACTTCTAAGGAGACTGCAGCTGGTTGACTTAACAAGCGTGTCACTTTACTTGTGCTTATGCATCCACAAAGTGAGGAGTCTTGCTGCTGCAAGTGGAGTTGAGTCAAAAGTCCAGGCATTGGAATCAACTTCTTTTAGAAATATAAGGCAGTGTAGATAAGGCTTTAATGGCTCGATCCTTCCCCAGTACCACCCAAATATAGGAGCTTTCGGCACCCCGCTATCTTTCATATATACTAATTTAGCATGGTAATTCGTTCTATGTGGTAATGCATCAAAAAGATTTTGACCAAATACCACCATTGTTTGAGAAAGCATGGACGATATAAGATCTATATGATAGACCCCAATAAAAAAGTTGGATAAAGGCTAAGTCATTTTTTTTTCATTGAGCTTGGAACTTGTATCTTGAGGCTGCTCGTTGATGGCTTGAACAGAGCTAGTTCTCTCAACTAAAGTATTTATTTGCATGTGTTGCAGATAGTCATGCCAAGGTGGGGATGGAGGTGGCTACTTGTGCTGTCTGCTGTGCCATATTTTATTGTGCTTCTGTTTTATAAACTTGCACCTGAATCTCCTCGGTATCTTTCTTTAAAAGGTCGATTAAAAGAAGCTCAGAATGTTCTGGAGCAAGCAGCAGAGCTTAACCAAATTAAACTTCCTCGTGGTTCTCTTGTGTCTGATCAAATGCTGAATACAGAGGAAGATTTGCCTCCAGCGGAAGAGACCCATTTGCTTTCCTCCACAAAGAAGGAAACATATGAATGTAAAAGAATATCCACTTCACCATCATTGCTCTCACTCTTTTCTCGCAAATTCTTTAGGACAACTCTGCTGTTGTGGTTTTTATTCTTTGGAACTACATTTTCATATTACGGCGTTATATTGCTAACCTCCGAGTTGAGCTCCAGAAAAAAAACCTGTGGGCGTGTTTCGTTTTATTTGGAGACAAGTCAGGCATCGAACCTTTATGTAGACGTATTTGTTACGAGTTTGGCAGGTAGTTATCTCTGATTCACCTCAGTGACTCTATGATTAGCTTTGCACCTTGGATCAAAAGTAAATTAACTTGAAATTCTTTTCAGAACTCCCTGGACTGGTTTTATCAGCATTTATTGTGGATAGAGTTGGTCGCAAGGTCTCCATGGTGATCATGTTCATGTTAGGATTTCTGCTACTATTTCCACTTGTCGGTGAACTAGAAAGAATGCTGACTACAATTTTATTGTTTGGAGCACGCATGTTTGTTTCAGCTGCTTTTACAGTGGCCACTATTTATGCACCTGAGGTATGTCTTTACCCATGTGTTCTTAACACTTGAATTTATTTTAAAGCTTCATATGCTAGCCCATCACTGCAGCTACATCATCTGACTAATATCCGAGCATTTTACTGTTATTTTGAGAAAAAGATGGACCGTGAAACTAATCCTATTTCGTGGCATCTCTCTGCACAACTCTTGATGTTTGTCATATTTCTTTGTCAGGTTTATCCAACCGATATCAGGACCAGTGCTGTCGGCCTTACGACTTCCATTGGAAGAATTGGTGGCATGATTTGCCCTCTTGTTGCTGTTGGGTTAGTAAGTGAGTGCCATCAAACTGCTGCGGTCATTCTGTTTCTGGGAATGATAGCTCTTTCAGGACTCTCCGTTGCTTTTCTACCATTTGAAACAAAGGGAAAGGACTTGTCTGATTCTGTGAATGAGCCTGAAACCAAATAGCCAATATTTTCTGGATGTCAAAAATGTAGGAGCCTCAATAGCTTATTGCTTTGAGGTCATTGAAAATGTTGCTGTGCATTTAGTAGAGTACTAGAGTATATTCATAGTATGCAGAAATAGTCCATTTTGGCTTATTGGCCAGTGTAAAAGTGAAACTACTTAATGTCTTTGTACAGGTTGGAATATTGTGCTGCGACATTTTATAGGCCATTCTTTCTAATTTCATACCCACCTTATTGTTTCCTAGATCGTTTTGTGAATCTGTAACGTAGTGAGTGATTGCGTCATACCTCAGATCTTAGTGGACAGATTTCCAGTGATTTGAAATGTAGAATGAAGTAACAGAGGAAGAATACAACTTATCAAAATTTTCCGACCACATTATACAATCAAGATCATCCTCCAGTCCCAAAACTAATTGCAACAATCTACACATTCGTGATACTCATACATCAATGTAATAGTCGCTACAGCCTGATCTAACTGTTTTCTACTTTGAAATTTTTACTTCATGTAAATGTGTAAGAAATGAATAAAGCCTAAACTCTTGACGCCTATTGGAGTAATGACATTCCTCTATTAGAAAAAACACTGTAAAAGGTACAGATTACACAGCTGTGAAGAAACCTCAGTTGATTTTAGGCTTTGGTCTTCTAGGCCTTAAAACAAGAAACAATATGATGAAAACCACAAAAAAGGCAGGAACAGTTGTCATGTCATATTCAACCTCGACTTTCCTCTGCCTTGTGCAATGAATTGGATGGAGGCTGGCAAGTGTTGTATTTACAAGGTCCGAGAATCTGCAAAAGAGAACAAATCTCATGTTCAACAAACTAAATGGTCGACATGCTTTAACGTAAATGTGACTACCAATTCAACACTACAGCTTTGGGATCTTTGTTCAGATTAGAGCAGAAAAAAATTGTAATAGAAACATGCTGACGAGGATATTATTGACCATGACAACGTAACAAATTTCTTGCTCAACTGTTCCTCCCTCTTACAATAAGTTTTCAAAAACCAAAGATAATTGGAATATTTTAAAGAAACATTAAAGATTTTTGGTTGCTAACCCTTTGGAAGCATCCTCCAAGGTGTAGAGAATTCCCATTGCATTATCATAGCGTAATTCCCCACTAATAGTTGCAATCTGAAAAGGAACACCAAAAAAAGAGGGAAAACATGTAATACTTTGGGAATACAGACATACACGCTGGAACTAGAGAATAGGTTTAATACACTTATGCCCGGTGGCATAGTAAATAGAAATTTTTTGGCCTATCCAGGTGACACTTACTCTTCTCCATAGGCTAACAACGTAGTTATACTTGTTCACCAACTCACGCTCCATGGATTGGAACACCTTGAAAGTTTGATCAGCTGCTGCTGGTTAAGTGTTCAACATTTAGGGAAAATGAATAGAAATCTCAGAAGGCAAGAACAAAATTTATAGGCCAATGCTTAAATGCTTTCGACTCATGTTCCTTAAGAATACAAGGAACATGATGCGATAAAGCAAGTTTAATGCTCAAAGCAAAGAAACTCAACTAATACAACTATCATTTCATCTTTCTGTAAGCAATTAATGGCTTTCAACAATATTTTAAAAGTGGACATTCAAAATGATCAACTGTAGTACAGCTATGATCCAGATCACCACAAACACGCATATAAGCCAAAGGTGAAATAGACTTCATGGTAATATAGGTGTTTGATCACGCTTAACCCAAAAAAAATAAAAATAAAAGACATGTTTGCCTGCAACAAATTTCACTGAGACGGTCAATTTCATCATGTGGCACTATTTGACAGATGCATTTCTAGCATACAAAAGGATGTTTTACCATGATAATCAGCGATATTTCACATCAAGAAAGAGACGCACACATGTCAGGCATGAAAAGTACTTCAATTTGGATCATTTAAACTCTGAAAGGATACATGTTCGCTCGACAGCAAGACGACGGATCGCCGAATTGACAATTTGAACTGATTCCTCCAGAGCCGTCAGTATATAACTTCGAGCAATAGAATCAGATTGGAACTGAGAGATATGCCAACCATGAGAAGTGATGGATAATGGGCTGCAACCTACTGACCATATCCAGTCCTGTAGTGGAACACCAAACTATATCAATCCCAAATGGGAGTTGGGAAAAAAAAAAAAAAAAATCCTCCACAGCAATCTAAATTCTTATTTCTCTTCTCTTATAAAAGGAAAATGATTTTCAACTCCCAGTAATACACAGCTTCTACAGACTAATGAGTAATTTGTGCATATACAATCTAGAGCATTTATCAACCCCTTTTTGGGAATTTCATCACCCAAGTTTAGCTATCATGAAATTGAAATTCTTATATAGCTGTAACAGTTACAAAACAACCTGGCACTGGAGATCCATTGAGAAAATGACCAAAAGGAAAAAAAAAAAAAATTTTTTTTAAAAAAACCTAAACCAAGAGAAACAAACAAGGCTTATAGACAGAAATACAGGAGTTGCATTAGGACATTCTAAATTATTAGCAGTGAGCGAATGAAATATGACTTTCCAGTAAACAGTGAATAATGTATGATCCTTATCATCAGAAGTCTAGCTATGCCTAAAAGTTGAAGGAATTCTTTAAGTAGTTAATTACCTATGATCAGTATAGCCCAATAATGCAGATCTTCACATGGTAATTGATTACAAGGCTCACATAGAATTTGAACAGACATGAGGACATTATCAAGCTTAACATGTATTAAATACAAGCACCGGAGGAACATGACACGATAACATCATCAAGCTTCACGTATATGAGATTAAAAGTGAACACAAAAAAAAAAAAACACAAACGTTACCATAATTGGGTGGCAACTTCATTAATAATACAAATCATGCTTAATATTTCTTTCTTTCCAGTGAAAACTCAAAGACCAAGTTGAGAAATAGGATATTTAGGTAGCCTAGAATCCCCAAAATCAAAGAGCTGAGAAGGAGTTGACCAAAGTAAATCTGATTTCCGTAAAGCATGAATGGATCTGGATAATAAAACTTGGTATTCAATTAAACAGAACCGGACATTACGATTTCTAATATAAAAGCTACAATGTCAAAGCTAAGATTTATTTCAAATTAAAAGAAAAACAAAGAAAAAAAGAAAAAAAGGTTTACACAATTCCTTAAGACCAACAATAAATAAAATATAAATTTAAAAAGAAAAAAAGAGATTATAGCAAATTCACTTGCCTCGGTAGCACTTTCATGAGCTTGACTATATACAAGATGAAGAGGGAGTAACCCAGCTAGATGCTCAGAAACAGAAGCTGTTGCAGCTTTTATAGGCCTCCTGCGAAGTGCAAGACAATAGTTACACAGTGATCATCACAAAAAATTTACAAGAAACAGTTGTAGTCACATGCTCTACAGTGTTTGGTAAAATTTAGTTAACTGGTGAAAAAATAAGAGACGCAGTAGATTCATGCCAGAAATTGTCAAACAAACCCTTGTAAAATTGTAAAGGCATAGAAAAACACAAAAATTCAATGATGGGTACCCATCTAGAGGCTTGTTTAAATTACCCTGGCAAGAAGCATTATTAATTGTACTCGAGAGTCTATATGACATCAGACGAGGTAAATACCAAATATTAGCTCCGAGGACAGGCCAGAGAGCTCAAAGAAAGAGAAGTGGTTCAATCGAATAACATGGCTTCATCTATTTTAAGACAATTGAATCATAGTGCATGGAAATCCTTGAACGGAGGGCAAACCAGTTCTCTGCCAAACAGACTAAAGTCACCTATGCAAAGCCACAAGCATGCAAATACAGAAAAGGATTCTGAAATCTATAACTGTCTGAACATTGAAAATGAATCCGCATAATAAGAAATTCATCAGCACAAAGTTCATACTCACCTCAAGTCCAAAAGAAGTGACTGGCCATTGCACTGTAAGTGGCTTTCCCAAGACGATTCCTCTGACTGAACAACAATAACCATATCAGAGAGGGCTTTTGACTGATAGTGTTGGTCAACCAGCAATGGATCGCCATGAATAAACCAGAATATGGGAACCTCCAAGGTGGACCGGCTATGTGCATGTGATCCTGCAATATCAAAGAATTTAAATCTGATTATTTCAGGACAAGTACTGATATTACATTAGGTAATTTGCGCAAGCATGATGCCAACATTCTATTACAAGAAACCCCAGGCATAAAACCTTTGTACAAAATACTTCAAACAAATTGGAAAACAGATAATCTGCCTTTAGGCGACCATTGAAACACTACTTGGTTGTAGATTTGAGTAAAATTTGCAGATGACTATCTCACTTTGACACCACAATAGATAGCTCAGTGGAGCACACAAATCATGCTTTATTAGAGTTCGATTGAATTAAAGTAAGAAACCATTTTTCCCTATTCCGCAGTTGGATATTTCCAGTAAATCGTTAAAATAACAACTCTGCGGTCCTAAAAGTCATATGTGCAAACAGGGAAAAATGGAATGGGAAGAAGTTTGTTTTTAGTACCTCTATTAGAATATTTCCAAAAATCTATCAGATTAGAAGCACCAGGGGAACAAATAGCCCCCTTTCAAAGAAAGGGTTGGGGGATGGCGATTAGCGGGTCGCTAGTTTCAACACTATGAAGGTTCATAGAGTCTTTCTAGACCACATTAGGCTAAACATTTATGCAACACAAACCCAATAATGATACAGGAACTCCAAAACAAAAGAACACCTTTCAAAGAGCCATGCTCATTCAGCCTCTTCAACTGGTGCTGGAGAATGGAAGAATCAAGGTAGGTGCGGACAGTTTTCCTGTATGTTCCATTGACAAGCAATAAAGGGACAGCAGCTGCTCTACGTGCAACTGAAAAGGCCATTGCCAATGCAGGATCCTCAGATAGTGGCAGCCTGTAGAAACGACAGCAAATAATAAGAATAGGCTAGACTCTATGCCAAAAAATCCACACTTAGGTCTGCCAGAATCAGAATTTTTCATCACCATTAACAAAGAAACAGAGAATCTGAGAGAGATTAAATAATGGATAGGACTTACATATGCTGACTAAACATCACTTTTTGAGAAGGTAGAACCAGAGAGGAAAGACTATTCTGAAGACTTTTCAGATCAATAGGCAATTGCTTGATGTTTCTCACTCTCTATATACAGAAAAGTTTCAATTAAATAGAGAAACAAATGACAGAGAATTGAAAATATTTCATACTCCAGTCAACTTTTTACAGCTTTCCTTACCTCTTGAGTAATGAAAAATAACTGAAAAGATATTTTTTCATAATAATGGAATGCTCCATCCGCAAGAGAAGGAGATATCACGTGTCTCATAGAACCCCATAACGTGGCACCCAAATGCGCAAGGAAGGAATCTCGGGCAACTGTGTAATTCCCAGAACCCTGGAAGACAAAATTTTGCTCTTTTACTAAGTACTAACAGACGCTAACAACTAATGCAGCCAGGAAATAACAAGTGACGACTAACAACCAAGATATCATAGCAAAAGTTCAATTTTATCGCAAAGTTACCACACCAAAAGAATTAATGGTTTTGAAATAGAATTCACTAGTCAAAGGACAAACCTCATAAGTATCACTAAACAAATTCCAGCTCTCCATTCTCTTCAGAGCATCTATAGCCTTTCTTTTATGGCTTTCATCGTATTCCTCTCCCTCAAAAGACTTGAGTTCAGCTTTCAAATCTTCCATTCTCTCATCAAGCTCTAAGAAGCCAATATAATTTGAGTTTTGCAGAAACTTTACAGTTACATAAACAGTAGAAGTTCACACAACAACATGGCAAATCTTTTGTGCATTTCAACTGCAAATCAAATCAATAATCTATGATACAACAGCGAACCTGGCCAGGAGACTTATAAATAAGCACCCAATAACCCAGCCAGTAAAGTTTAGGTTTCAAAATACTGAATCTTAAGCAGCACAAATTAAAAACCGAAAAGATAAAGAAAAATAATAAATAAAAGAAGCATTTAACTAACAGCCAAAACAAGTTAAACATTACTGCAGTCAACAAGCAAGAAATTACCTTCACAGAGAGCAAGCTTAACCCTCCTTCCCTTGCAATGCTTGAATGCAAATAGCTCATATATATCAATTTCCGCAAGCAGAATATCAATTGCATGATGATCTTTCTGCAGCGTAAGGAACAAAACAAATTAAAACTAGATGCAAGTATAAGAGCCACATCTTCATCCACCCTATCAACTAAAAGCTAGAAACGGAATGTTTGGTGAATTCACAGTTGATCATGAAAAAGATATCAGAGACAGTAAGCAAAGTTCTTCACAAGTTCACGGTGAATCTCCAGTAATCAAAATCATCAAATTGAGGGAGATTACAACATCGACATACATCACCAAACACAGAAAACTTCTCCTGAATTGCCTCCTGCAAGCGATCTTCAGCTTCATCTTCAGAAATTTCTGGGAGAAAATTTAATAGTTATTACTGAGTAGTAGAAACTAATTAGTAGTATTAAAACATAGTCCAGCAAAAATAAAAGAGTCGCAAGAAATGGGGCAAAAATCAGTCTTCAATTGGTGTAAGAGAATGAGAATGAGATCCAACGTGGGTATAATTTTGATCAACATGTCTAGGATATCAAATGCCTACACGCAGTAAGAGTGGCACACTATGACATATCTTATCGTCAAATTTACCTGAAACGGCACCAACAGTTTTTTCAACATTTGGTAAGCTCAGTTCGGTACGGACACCTTCTCCACCAACAGCAGGACCCCATGAAAATGGACCTGCAGTTAGATCTATAAATGCCCACCTGGACACAAAGACACATAATTAGGAGAACCGCTGAGAGAGAGAGAGAGAGAGAGAGAGAGAGAGAGAGAGAGAGAGAGAGAGAGAGAGAGAGAGAGAGAGAGAGAGAGAGGGAGAGGGAGAGGGAGAGGGAGAGGGAGAGGGAGAGAGAGAGAGAGGGAGAGAGAGAGAGAGAGAGAGAGAGAGAGAGAGAGAGAGAGAGAGGGAGAGGGAGAGAGAGAGAGAGAGAGAGAGAGAGAGAGAGAGAGAGAGAGAGAGAGAGAGAGAGAGAGAGAGAGAGAGAGAGAGAGAGAGAGAGAGAGAGAGAGAGAGAGAGAGAGAGAGAGAGAGAGACCTTTCCTTTCCAATCCACATGTCCGTGAGACATTCTGCATGAAGGCCATTGAACTCCCCAGTCTTTAAATCTTTCTCAAATGAAAGCTTTAGGTCTTCATTTTTCCCACTCAAGGACTAAAAACAATGTAAAGCCAACAAATAGTTACATTATTGAAGAAAGATTGAAGACTGATACTTTACTGACTTCACTTATTTGCATGCGAGGTACAACATAGGATAACTGCAGAAAAGCACCTCACACATGAAATTTAAAGGTGTGAAAAGAAACAAACTTTATACCTGCAAAACTTTGCTTTGTATGATGTAAGCAGTATCTTTCCCTGTATATTGCCGCTCGATAACGTTAAGAGCATCTAGGCAACGGTTATACCATTCCGCCTGGATTGTAGCAGAAAACAATGGATCAATTAGAAGGTAAGAAGGATAAATCTCATAACCCATTTGTCACAAGTGGATAGATTTGATGAATGGAATGACTATTATGAGAGAACAACATGACAAAATACTTACTATAACTAGTTATTTTGGCTTTCTTCAATACTCTTCCCTAACCCAAAAAGGGGACAACAAAGATACAAACATCTTTTAGTAACTTCAGCCGGCAGCTATCAATATCAAGTTTAATACCCAATTGCACAAAGATTCCCAGAAGATCCAGTCAGAATAACTAATGATCTCCCCTCAACTAAATTACTAGTCGTCATAATTGAAGAGCCTTCCCCTCCTCTACGGCTAAGAGTCCCACCAGACTCACTGAGTACCAAATATAGAGCAAAAAAAGAAGAGCTTTGGCTAATTTCTTCTTCTTTGAGCTCTCATAGGCTCAGTTGCTGCATAGCTTCAGACACCCCCTGCCAAAAAAAAAGGTCTGAACTCCTCATATCTCACATAAAATCTATAATCTATCTAGACCTCAACTCTCGGATAGGCTTTTGCAATCCCCCTGTTTCCTGCTACTTCATCCTTTCCTCTGCTACTTCATCCTTTCCTTTGCTCTAAAGCATGTTCTTATACCCCCTAAATCGTATGATTTAGTTACAAACACTATTAATTACTCCAAGTACTGTTGCAAATGTGATGGATCTTATTATCAGTCTGATGATGAGTTGCAAAGGATTAAAGGACAAAATTGGAGGTCTACACTGCATCAATTATCATTCACTATCTTTAATTAACCTTTTCTTCATTTTTTGGAGTAAGATAGGCAGAGAAGAACAGGAAAGAAAATCTGAACATCTCTCTCTATAGCAAATTTAAAACTTAAATTCCAGGTATCTTGTTATACTATCTTCTTCGAATATTTTCCTCCAATGGCCTTCTATTAATATCACTCCCTCGTGAGCTTCTAAAGGAAACTATCCCTATTCAGTTCAAGAAGACAAAAATATCAAGGCTAAATTATTCGAGACACATCTCACAACAAGCAAGAGCAGAATTATCTAGGTACTTCATAGTAGGACAATAACACCAGTCCTTACAATTTTGAAATGAGGCTGAGTGCACAAAGAGGATATAAACAGTATTTAGAAAGCGTAGAAATATGATACATATCCATCAAACTGACACACGCAAAAGATATGTTCGAAGGTACAGAAAGTTTACTACATATGTTTAAGCGAAAAACAACTCACTGTATCAGTATCTTCTGTAACTGTCCAAGAAAATTTCGCCATTGGATGCTTTTCATACAATGGTCTTTTAATCTTATCAAGACCTGACAGAAGTTCACAAATGCAATAAAAATCAATATGCGTAGACAGTGGGGCTTTGAGAAAAAAAATTTCCAAAAGAAGAAGGTGCACGATCCACACACCAAGAACACTTTCTGGAACACTTCCTGACTGGAGGATTTTCGATTGCAAGGCCTTATTCTGCAATCAGCATCATCACAGGTTTAGACAATTTTGTTCACAGAAGTTAACCAACAAAAAACAACCATATCTGTGAATAACTTTATTTTTGGAATTTTATCCTGTGAATTTTATTTTTGGAACACTGACAAAAGAGCACAACAAATACTAGATCAGCAAGCCTAAACATACCTCCTTGAGAAAGTTTATCTCAGACTCAGACAACCCTCTCCTGCAACATTTTACAGAAGTTTCAAATATATAAACGAAAAAGTGAGAATTATCCATGTTTATCCTAAAAGACAATGTAAAGCTTAAAGTACCACTTAACTATTCCCACTGACAGGTCACGGATACCTATTGCTGAGAATTACGACAGTAGCTGTCAATTTAGAGGACCTAAATAATGATAATAAATCATTACCTATTGATCTAACCGCTAAACTAGGTATGGCAATTTGAGACACAACACAACCAACCAGAAAAATAACATGTACAAAGTAATATGACCTAAACATGGCCTCACTATTTCACAGTTAACACAAACATCACATGAAAAAGGTGTCCTAAACCACCTGTTCCCATCCATGACCCATGAACACGATAGCTAACATATTCACAACCGTACTATATGAAGTTAAGAGAATGTCTAACAAGATCTTGTACGGAAGAGTTAGCTATGCTAACGAAAGTATACGTACCGGTAACCATATTTGGCTTTTTTCACATCAAGTTTAGGATTCAAAACAAAGATGTTGTAAGCATCTTCCAATTGTAAATACTCCACCAAACTAGTGAAAAGGGCCCCCATCATATCCACGTCAACTTGCCAAAGACCGTCCTCTCTACACGGCAGAAAAATAAAAAATTAATAGCATCTAAAATGTTATGATCACTTTAAGCTATAAAACCAGCACAAATACCTAAAGATTAAGAAAATATACATACCGGGTATCCTGCACATCATTCTTCCGTCCAAATACATCAATGGCATGCTCAAATATAGATGTAACTTTTTCACCCAGTTCAATGGCATGAACAGAAAAGCTACAAGAGAAAAAAGGAAATATTACTAGATTTTCACAGCATCACACCACCTCTAATTTGAACAAACCCAAGAAGAAAACATACTTGTAATTGATGTGACTGACTAGAGGAAGATGGTGACGCTGTTCTCTGTCAATGCTTATCTTGTAAAATGGGGTCAAAACTTCACCAATTTGAGGTATCCTTGAATGCTGAAAGATGTGATCAATTTTAGTGAACCAGCGCTCCAATTCTTCGGCTTGTAACTTAAATTCTATCATGGATGAACAAACACAATCAATATAGCAGACATCTCTTACAAGAGCTATATTTGAAAGGAAGCATAAACAATGTGTTCATTCCAAATCATACCTTGGTTTCCCTTCCCTTCAAATCCTATGAAAATGAAATTGACGGGCACTGGAAGGTACATTGAATCAACTTCAAAAAGCTTGAGATAATGGGAAATTGTGCCTGAAATGAGACATGCAAAATATCTCAATTGCAAACTTTGCTAGGTAGCACAAATAGTCAAGACAAAGAGCAAGCATAAATTTTCATGACCCCCCAAAAGAAGTGCAGTTAGCAAGCAACATAGATAGTTCCATGACTCTTACAGCCACAGTGAGCACTTAGCACAGGATTCAGTGAGAAAGCAAAAAAAAATAAAAAATAAAAAAAATAAAAATCCAGGATGCATGAAATCCTAAAGGCAATTTCTCAATATAAGTTTCTAAAGCTGAGATTTGCATTCACAAAATATGCATGCTCAGGTGGAATGACGTTAATCATAATATCAATAGACCATCAGGATTCCCATAATAAAAAGACTTTTCCACACCATCCAATTACAGTAAACACCAGGCCACAAAAGATTAACCAATAAGCCATCAATATGATAGTTCAAGATTCAACAACTGCCAACTAACCATACATGAAGCACTATTTAATTTCCTCACAGTGGGAAAGATTAGAATGACGCTATATTGTTTGATTTGATCCGAACATCTTAATAACCAAGAAAAGAACAATTAATATTAGGAACTAACAGAAACAAATCACATTCATGTATTCAAAATGTTGGAAATGATGTTCCAGCTATCACAGGTTGAAAACTTGAAATCAAGCCAGTAAACTTCAGACAAAGGAGGGTCAAATGAGATAAGTACCTGCCTTGGTGTAATTAGCTGCCTGCTCTTTCTCTGGTCTAGATGACTCCAGATCAGCAAAATCTGCAATCATTGGTCAAATCAATAATGCAAAAAAAAAAAAAAAAAAAAACGATCCCTCAAGGTCAGTCATAGAGAGGCAGGGATATTGTCTACATACCAGTACGCAAAACGGACTCACTCCAGAACCTACTCTTCTCTCGAAGGTTGAATAATGAAAACACAGACGACCCGCCCGTTTTACTCTTTGTGACCCGTGATCCATATGACTCATTCCCCAGTAACTGTCAAGACAAGATTATCCAACCAAAAAAAAATAAAAAATCAGCACAAATCCATCAGTGATCAACCAACTTCATTTCAATGTTTTACGTTTTCAATACGAAAAAGAAAATTATAATTCAACTTCTTCAACCAATCAACCCCTTGCTCCATGACTTGGTATATGCTAAAATGATAAAAAAAAACTAGAATCAAGACCCCAGAAAGGCACCGAAACAACTAACAACTACAATTCAGGAATGAAATGCCCCTAATATGTTCAAAAACTATCATCATGAAGCAAAACAAATTGAATAGAAACATACAAATTAGCTGGACAAATGCACAATCGTGCCTAAAGAAATAACTGGCATTCCCAAAATGATCATGATAAAAAAAAAAAAAAACTAAATACGATTCTACCATAGACGAAGGAATCAAGTTTAAAAGGAAGAAAATGAACTGATTATGAAGAATTCTCAGTGAACCGATGAATTGGAAAATTTAAAAAAGATCTTCAAGGATTGGATTACCAAGAGGAGGAGGAGGAAAAGAGGGAGAAACCGTTCCAGGAAACGACGCCGTGACATTGGTTCCGATGAATTTCAGTGGATCTCTCCGCTGTAGTGAAAAACGAGCTGCAACGCTGCTGGTGGAGAGACTGGAAGAAGACGACCGGAGACTATTTTTCCTCTTTTTCTTTCTGAATTGTTTTTTTTTTTTTCAATATCTGGGCTTTTGGGCGTGGGAATATTTTGGGCTTTATTTTATATTCTGGGCGGACTAAATATCTCGGCCCAGCCAATGTTCCATCCGCTCACTTTTATTAGTACTACTATTATTTTTTATTTTTTATTTTTTATTAAAGAAAAAAGATTGGCGGAATAAGAAGGGTCGAACTCGGGATTCCGCGGTTCAATTTTTTTCAATTAAAACTGGGGAAACGTCAGCGTTTCTTTCATGCAATCACAACTTTCCCACCATTTCTTCTCCTCTTTCTCCGGCTGATTTTTCAGTTTTCACACACACTCACGCACTAATACTCATTTTTTCGCACGCTCACGCACTATTTCTTTCTCGTGTGTTTCATATGCTCAGAGCTTTACACACAGTCACACACTACTGCATAATGGCTACTTCAACTGTGAGTTTTTCTAATTTCCGTGTAATTTCTTGGATTTCTTTTTATTTTTTGTTGAGATTCTTGATTTCGCCTACTGTTGCGGTTGATTTCCGTTGAATTTCTCTAATATGTTGGGGTTTTTTTTTCTTTTTGATTTTTGGCTTGTTTCTTGCGCAGTTCTCAGTTTCTCTTTATTTTACTTAACCTTTTCCGTTGATTTTGCTCTTTCTTGTTCTTAGGCGCGTTTGTTCACACGACGTGAGGATTTTGACCGCTTCAAGATACTAGTAACGGCAAGATTGGCAGGCGTAGAGCTGGATTGCACAGAATTGTCAGGTTGTGAAGCTATTGAAGAGATAAATGATGTTGCCGAGCTTCCGGTTTTAATTACCGTTGATGGCAAGACATTGACCGGCGTTCGTACAATAATCAATTCTCGTAAGTTGGAGATTAATATCTTTTGTTCCGTGTTTCTTGGCAAAGTGCTGTACTCTTCGTTCTTTTATTTGATTGAATTTGAATGGGTTTTGCAGTGGCCAAGGGTACTGAGTTGATTCCGCTTCCCTGTTACGATACTGTAAGTCCTTTCTGTTCAATGTGAATTAGTATTATTGCTTCTTCGTATTGCTTCTTTCTGGACACTTATTACTTCTTACTTTTCAGGATGATGTTGACAATGCCGTTGATACTGCAATGAAGTTAGATTTTGCAAAGTGGATTTGTCCTGTACTCCAGGAACTCGTGTATATTCCTCCCCACGAGGAACTTCTCAATCCATCCTGGGAAAGCACGATGACAAATCTGAACTCCTTGATTGGTAAAGACAGTTACATGGTTGGGGATCGAATTAGTATTGCAGATATCTACGTGATGGCTCAGTTAATGCCTGGAGTCCTGTCTGTATTCAGTGAAGACCATAAACAGAGGTACTCTGGAGCTTGTAAGTACTTTTGGAATTTGATCAACCGTCATCCAGAATTTAGTGAGGTCTTCCCACATTTCAAAGAGGGTAAAATCAGAAGCCTTATTAAATCTGAAGCCACATTGGATACTGAGGATTCGGAAGGCAAACCGTTGGATGATTGGGATTTAATTGAAACAATTCAGCTTCATAAACAGGTAGAAGCCTTAGAGGTTACTATTAAAGTTGATTTTGGTCTAGTAAAAACGTGGGAATTGGTAGGGAAGTATATTAAGGTCTAGATAACGTAAGCTCTATGAACTGTTTCAGGAAACTGAGTAAAATCTCTGTTCTGATCTAGTATAAATAATGGCTGCATATCAGACATCAAGTGTTTTATTTCTCTTTTTTTTTTTGTTGAAGCAGTTGGAGTTTAGGCTGTGGTATGATACGTAAGAAAGAATAGTGTTTGTAGCTGGATATGTATGCATACATGGTTTTTGCATTTTTTGGAATAATTTTGCAATGTGGATTTTCTACGGCTGTTGTGAACTTTTCCAGGACATTTCTGAATCTAGATTTACTGGCATTGTAGTTATCAGAGTGCGGATCTTAAAATATCTAAAGCCTTGTTATTGTCTTTAAGTTTCTGAGAGTTTGTGATCATGCCTGAATTTGTCATTTTCTGCATTCGTAATCAGCAATCGGCATATCCAGTTCATCGTGCTACATTCAATCAAGATAAAAGGTATCCATGCAATTCTTGACCTGATTGTTCATCAAATACTCTCTCATCTCCTTTTCCATTATGGAGTATACCTTTTACAATACATTTTTCTTTTTCTTTTTGTTACTTTTGTTTTCTAGCTGTTTGGCCGTAGCGATGACAGGTGGTTTCAGGATTTACGATTGTAATACTGGCAAAGTTCTGCACGATGAAGGTAAATTGTTGATTACCCAACATTCTTTATCGATTTCTAAGTTTCTTTCGTGCTTGTTCTTTAAATTCTTTTCGCCTCATGTAATTTGACTTTTTCCTGGTGTTTCTTTAATTTTGGTGGATGACTTATATCAGTTTGTGCTATAACAGTAGGTTGAAAAATATGAATTAGATCATGGGTAATGTACGCATAGCTATTTCTTGAGTGTTAGTGAGTTGGAATGTTTCATAATCAGACTGGATACCATAGGATGCTGAAGTTAAGTTTCTTTCAATTTTGTCCTTGATTTGAGTAAAGATAAGATTGGTACTTTTTTCAAATGTTTCATCTACTAGGCAAAATTCGGGCTGTGCTTGTGATTTGCTATGTGCTGAAATTTTATTGTCAGCATTGTCAGCAAATCAGGTTTTCTTGTTTGATATGACTTACTAACAGTTCAATTTTACTGACTAGTTAAAAGATGTTGGATCTCTGTGGTTATGTCAGTAAAGTATAAAACTAAAGAGTTTAGTATTTTTGTTATGAAATATTTGGAATTCTTATTAGAATTCGCATACATTTAATTCCTCAACTCTGAACTCTACTTTCTTTTTGCATGTAGACTGTTTGATGATGAAAGATTTTTTAAACAAGTTAGATCCTCGTTAGAATTCTCTTGAGACTTTTTAGTTTTATGTTTGCTAGGAGTTGGAGCTTTTGACGTTATCGAAATGTTGTTCAGCACGAGTGTACTAGCAGTAGTTGGTGTTGGTGAAAAGGTAGTTGCAGTTGTTCGGTCACATCTCACACACTCCAATTCTGGATTCCACCCCCCCACCCCCCCAACCCCCTCCAAGATTTCCATCTTTACTATTCTAATTTGGATTTGTTATATTCTGATGTTGCAATGTTGCATTTGATTATACTGCCATCTCAACAGAAATTACGGCTTTTCAATATCATAACTGGAACTCCATCTCGGGACCTCAATTTTCCGGTTACAGTTCGAGCTGTTCGTTTGAATAAGAAAAGGTAAAAGCATTCTGACTGATTTACGCTAATAAATTGTTTGTAGCTAGAGCTGTGAGCTCAGAAAGTTAGTCAGCAAAGTTATTGTCATTGTTTCTTACTACTGGAAGACTTCCTAAATTTTAATTTGTCAGAGGCATTTCATTAAAATTGCTGCTAGTTAGGAATTTCTCACTTGTTACCTTTTTGCCTTTAGTCTAGGCAGGATTTCATTATTAATGAAGTGAAAGATGAAACAGAATCTTTTGAATAATGAGTAATGAAATAATATGTGATTTGGCTACTGATTTGGGTTTCTGTTAAGTATATTCTTTATGCTGTCCACTATAAATATTTTGTAGTTTCCTCATGCCTCTTGATTTCATTGAAAGGTTAACCTTGAAAAATGCAGGCTGCTGGTCGTGCTTCTAGAAGTATGTTTAATCTTTGACATAAACAGTCTTCACCAGTTGGCAACGATACAAACAGGTCTAAACCTGAAAGGACTATGTTCTCTTTCGTCTTTGAATGGATCTTTTTTGGCTCTTCCAGCCAGTAAGGTGGGAGCTGTTATGGTCTACAATGCTGTGGACGTGCAGCATCATTCTGAGGTAAGTTAAAGTACCAATTTTGAATATTATGATTCATGAAAGAGTAGGTTAGATTGGAAATGAGCCTAAAATGAAAATGCAGATAAAAGCTCATCGGTCGCCACTAGCTGCTATGAATTTTTCTGCTGATGGGACTTACATTGCAACCGCATCAGAGTCAGGGACAAAGATCCGGATTCATATGATTTCTACCTCTACTAAGGTACTCATTTATTTGCTAACTGCTAACATGACCTCTGAAATTGTGGTTATTATAATTTTTTTTTGGTGTATGGCCTTATTATCTTACATATTGGCAGGTTTGCACCTTGAGGAGGGGTTTTACTCCATCACAGATACATTGTTTATCTTTTTCTCCATCTTTGGAGCTGCAACTGCCTGATATGCTTATTGCTCTAAGTGTTGCCGGTTCACTTCATGTTTTCCCTTTAAATAACAGGTGTCAAAATCTGCTAAATAGTTCCTTGTTACTCGTTTTTGTACTAAAGTTTAGGTTGTCAATAACATTGAATTCTCTTTAACATGGCAGAAACAAGAAAGCAAGCTTGCTTGGTGACATGAGTTCTGTTCATCCCATCTATCAGGATGCTGTTCCATCTGGAGTTAAAGGGTAAGTTTTTCCATGATTTGTTTCTATCAACCTCGTTTCTCTATAACCTATTGGTGTCCGAATCTGACCCTGTTTTCTTTTTACAGCGATGCAGTCATACGAAAGCTGCAAAAGTTAGCAAATGGAGACATCCGGTAATAGTCACATTCTAGGTAAAAATCATACAACCTTAGTGTTTGTAGTTTATTCACCCTGACACTTGCATTTTTTTGCAGAGCAACAGTAACCGTTGTGTCATACGCCGGCAGTGTCTGCGAATACAGCTGCATGATTAACACGAAGGGCGAAGATTCGTGGGGATTGGAAAAAATGGTCTTCCTATAAAATTGCTGTCTGTCTGCATTTTATTTCATCAATTTGATAATGATAAAGATAAACGGGTTTCCTCTGCATGCTGCAATCCTGCTGAATATTTTATCGCAAGGAGGTTGAGATTTCTTTAAGGGTGGGTGCCCCTCTCTCTCAATCACAATGAAAGTAGTACAACCAATATGTTTTTCTTTCTTTCTGTCTTTTTTCATCGATTTGAACCACACTCTTATTTCCCTCGTTTACCTTTTTTCCATTTTGCTATTGATTTCTTTTGTGGCCATAAAGTTTAGGGTTCTCTGTATCTTTGGAACTGTAAAAGGGCTGTTTCAGTTTGTTAGTCGTCTGAATTGTTAATTCATGCTGATAGCTCTAGGCATTAGACCTGTTTTTGAGGCAAATTAATGTTTGAGGTTTTCTGTGATGATTCCTAAAAAAGAATCACTTGTAAACTATAAAAAGCTGGTTTGGAGGTTGAAGATAGGAGTGTACTTACTACCTGACAGGGGTCTTTACTTAGGTTTAGTAGAGAAAGGATGTGATAATATATACTCCCTCCGTCCCATAATTATTGTCCAGTTTGGGTTTCCATTTCTAGTTCAAATTGTATTAGAAGTGAAATCTCAAACTGGACAATAATTATGGGATAGAGGGAGTACTTAGTAACCTTAATTTTATTACTAAAAGTGAGTTTTTCGGTACTTGCCTTGAGAATGTGGTAGATTCATTTTGTGCGGATGTCTACTCATATTTATATGGCTTGGGCGTTCTTAGTGTTCTCTGGCTTGGATAATTTTACTACTAATGAAAAGTTATACTATCTAACTTTCCTAAAGTCTAAACTGGTATGCAGTGTTGACATAGTGTAGGTTTGGTTGTCCTTGCATGAATAGGATGTCTGATTGAATCCATGCACTGTGCTTATGATCCATTACTAATCTAATAGTTAAAAATAGGAGAGTGTATATGTTTGTAATCTAATGGTTAAACAGAGAGATTGTATGTTTGATTTGCAAATAAAACCTCTTATATGTGGTAAAGAAAAATGGTCGAATAAATGCTTCTCGGTAAGTAACGATGTTGAAAAACATATAGCCAGTCGTCTTTTGTTTGTTCCTGGCAGAGTTTCATCTCAACAACAATTTTCCTGGAGTTTGGAGTTCTCTCTCAGTTCTGAAGTAATAATGGCAACTTGTGTCTGTCATAAGATTGGTCATTCTTTTGCAAGATTCCAGTTGATTTACTTAATTATTTTTCTCATTTAGCCATATCTTAGTTCATGTAATGCCATTATCGTACACAATGGTGTCTATGTAGGATTTTCTCTTCATAAATCACTGATGCAAGTTTGAAGAGAGTTAATAATCTGGATGGTTTGAAATTTGGTGTGCTCTTTAAATGATAGCTACAAAAGGCACTAGTCTTATAGTTCTAAGCGGCCTTATTCTAGTTCAGCTATCTAGTGCTCAGATTTTAGAAGTTGTGGCTTCAGTGAGAGATTGAGACTTTCTCAAAGGGTGGTTGCTCCTCTCTGTTAGCCAATGATCTTCCTTTCATAAAGAAAATTAACCATGCCCTTCTTAAGTGTTTCAGGTGTTGTATACTTGTTATTCTATTTCTGTTCTAGAATATGTATGCGTCTTAGCTTCTACAACCTCCCAAAGCGGAGGATTGAAGTTGAGATTGCAATGATTGTTTTTTGAGCACATGAAATTTGGCCACATCTTGGTTGGATGGCATGTTTAGGAGAATTCTTTTATATGTTTTTTCCTTACTTGCAACCACGTCTTTTCTTTCTTTTTGGAACCATGGCTGTTCCTTTCTTTCATTGCCTAGTTCACAAACCTTCCTCCTTCCTGTCCTATGACAAGAGCCCGGACATAATAAAGGAGCAGCTGCTTAATTGCCGCTTAATTATTACGAAATAATTAAGGGGTAAATCTAGACCCGCAATTTGTTTGGCGATCATGTCGATTGTTAATTAATTCCTCCGTGCATCTATAACAGATTCGACGTTTACATTCGAACTTTTCTTTCTTTCATTGTTTCCTTTTCAGAGAAAAACTAGAATTGTTTTTTTTTTTTTTTTTTGGTAAAAGTAAAATATGATTTGATCACCCTCTTAGTACGTCAGAACTTTCAATGGACATACAAAAATAATTTAAAAAATGTTAAAAAAATTTTTACCTTTTGAAATAAATCTATCCGGCTCAAATATAAATTAATAAGAATAATACTTTCAAACACCTTGTGTATACTATACTATAAAAAACCTTGTTAGGAGAGTTTTGCTTTTCAAGATAGGATCATTTAGCTTGATCCAAATTAGTCATAATGATACTTCTTTAATCGCCACCAATGATCTTGATCTTCATTTCCTATTGTGAAACTTCTTTTGTATTTCAGTTTAGTTGACATGCCTCCATTCCACTTGTAATGCTAATTAAAAGGTTGATTATGGTTCAAGTTTGAATATGTAACAGTTTTTAAAATATTTATTGAAAGAATTGTACATTTAAAAAAGAATCTATTCTGTTCGAATTCTGGTTAGTAGAAAAACAAATGTGCAGGCTTAGTTAACCCAACTACCATATTAATTTGTTGTCAGTTATATATTAGAACGTAATGATAGTTTCATTTTTTCATATATTTGCTTCTCCATCATGTTGTACCACTATGATAAAGAAAGGGTGGGTCCTCACACTTGATGTTCTTATTAATATATTATGTATTTAGTGTCCCAAATCATTGTTTAGATTAATTTGATTAATGTTAATCTAAAATCATTTTAGTAGTACTATATAGATTAGCTTTTACAACATTTGAATGGTTTAACTTGTAACAGATTAGCTTCAATGTAGTAATGTTTTGCTCCATATTAAAATGATTATGCTTTTTTATTTTGCAAAATTTTATGAACCGGGTCACTTTTTCAAAACAATTTCAATGCTATGGTATAATTTGCAAAATGAAAATGTGAGAAAGTGCGTAACGTAATTGCCAAACAAAAGGTAACAAACAACCTTTTTATTGATTCAGGCTAGCTAATCAGCAAAACGCCACAACAGATTCTCAAATTACAAAAGATGGCGTTGGTCCACCAATCACACCATCCAATTCCACATGATCTCCTAAACTCTTCAAGATTGGAAGTATATAATTATAAAAGAAATAAATTTAAAATTTTAAAGTACAAAAAAGTATAGAGAAGTCAACGCAAACAAGGCAGCCTTCTAACACTCCAAAATTAGACATATGCGCTTCTTGAACCTCGTCCGTGTCCTTAAATTTTCGCATGCAAACTTCTTGCACAAAAAGCCTTTCTCAGATAAATGATTTATTTCTCAATTATTTCCGTCATCGCGTATTAGTAATGAAGCGTGATGCTACAGCTTTCGTATATAAACGACTTTGTTTACTCTCCAGATTTACTCTCCACACGTACATTCTTTGGCCTATCTTAATGCCGATAGCCCAGTCATGTTCATTTCTTTTTCTTTTGAAAGGGGGTAGATACCCCTCTTGTGTGTACAATTGTCGGGAATATGCTCTAAAGGTCATATTACAGGATATTTTCCCTCCCTTGAGCCCTGAGTCGCAATGGATCGTTGTGCCTACTCTACCGAACAACTAACTTAAACGTTGCTATCTCGAAGCCGCAATGACTATCACATCTGATTGTCCAATTCCATGTCAAATTGCTATGACTCTTTGGGGGTCCGTAGTAAATACGAATTAGAGAAGCACTGCCCACCCTCCGCAGCATTCTTTCACAGCTGTCGTGAGTTAACCAAACCATGGCTTCAATAGTCTTGCTCATATCATGGTGAGATCTTTCTGCTTCTTACATTTTATATCGCAAAATGGCTGTTTTCCAAGAGGGCAGAGTCCCTCAATAGTATATTGTATTCCACGCTATTTCTCGTGCATGATAATTTATTACTTTCACTAATAAATCTACAAGTGCATGAGTAGTTGTTTTGTCAGGATCAGAGAACCATTTGGGCTTCAATTGGTGTCTACGCTCGAGAGCTACCACCATCAGAATGATCTATCCTCGACAATTGCCATGAAAGGATTCAGACTATTACTTCCTCGAAACTAAGGTACACTAGAATGATCTCTTCAAATACGCATCCTCGATCGAGGAGCCCATATATACACTATCAAGGTCCGAGAGCCTTTATGCGCTTATTAGATGAACTTCTCACTATCTTTCATTCAACATGTCGTTATTATTATACTTCCAATACAGTCTTGGACTAAGCCGCAGGACAAGCATACCACGAGAACTCTGGGGCAAAATAAGCAAAGATACGTAACTCTCGCAGCTGATTCCTCGAGGATAGCGGCATCGTCAAGATTGCTATGACCTTAGGGCGTTTATGTTTTAAACCCAGGATATAGACTATCAGTCTAATGCATATAGTGGTAGCCCACTCAAGTACTCATGGGAGCTGTTATATCTCATATACGCAATTACACCCAGTTAAACATGACTAGTCACTTGAACAGATATCCTTTTCGGGATCTTCCTTAAAAAGACATTGTCTTCAGAATCGTTTGTATTCTAGGAACTCGTACCCAGTTTCCTCGAGGATATCCTCTTCAGGATTGTCCTTAAAAAGACATTCTCTTCAGAATCGTCTGTACAAAGGTATCCTCTTCAAGATCGCCTGCAAAAGAGCCGTGTACTTAACATCCGGCCATTATAAGCACTTTACAAATAACTCATAAGCCATGTACTCGACACCCAGTATTGAGAAAGACCTAGATTTTCATGTTCATGAACAAAGGGTGGACTATCCCTCGAACCTAAACACATATGTTTTATACCTCAATGAGAAATAGACTTGTTCTCGAGTATACTTTCTTGGATCGATCTATCATATCATCCAATACATCAGAATGAAAATGACTTTATTCTCGATGTTCTCGAATTAACTTTGTACCTTGTTAATACAGTATTATTCCTTCTGTAAGGTGGTTACCACCCATCTCCTTCTGATAGACGC